GAAAGAAATAAAAGTCGGTGTTAATTATTAAGTATGATCGAGTGATTAAGGGAATATAATTGATTGATTAGAAAGAGAGGGAACATGATCTACAAGTAAGGAATCAACGAGATGAGTCATTGATGATAATATCTCGAATGAATTCTCTCTCGTGGAAATGTCATTAAAGCATTTCAATGTTTCAAGAAGTGTCTTAATAGCTATTTGAAGTTGGCACTAAACCAGTCTATATGCAAAACTTATCAATAATTTCAACGACACTCAGATTACCATGCACCATTCATCTGTTTCAAACAGGCATGAGAGCTGCAATTCGTTGGAAAGATCTCAGAACGCTCGATTTAAAGGTTAATGAAGTGTTACGGTATTGGCAAAGATTAGGCATTAGCGCGTGGCATTTCGCTGTGGCATTTATTGAGTTCGTTAGTGTTGTCGTTGTTGGTAGGTGGAGGAGTTTTTAGGGGTCAAGATGAATTGGTGCTTAGAAGAAAGTGGGATTCGACACAACTATACTTTCCATACTTAAAGTAGATTCTTTCTCGAAATCACTCTAAAGAACATTGTCGATACCGGTATCATTGGAGGAGGTTTTGGAATTATTGTGTATGTATTTATTTATAGCACTTTTCTTGATCAGTTCAGGCTGCAGTTCACTAATGCAAAGCGGTTTGTAATTGTTTAAATACATAGAAGTAGCATATTTAAACAATTATGAATCAACATCTTGGATTAAGCTAGAAAATCACTAATGTTAGTGTTAACCCAGATAATCGCAAGCCAAAACAAGCCAATAATTCGGGAGAATATCATGGGTTATTGATCAGAATAATCTTACTGAATAATTTTAGTGACTTGTTGTTTTTGATAGTTGATATCATATCTCTTCTTTTTAAAGTCGAGTAATCAATAATTTCTCCAATGCAGAATTTCTGATTGGAAGTGAGTGGTTGAATTCTATTGTCTGTAGCTTATTATATTTAGCGCCGTATTTTCGTTAGCAATAGTCTTTCAAATTATTGGTGAGAATTTGTTCAAGTGGCTGCCTGAATATTAAAAGGAAGATAGCAAAAACTTTATGGAATTAATTAACTGTGCAGTTATTGCAGCCAGAAAGTAATGCCACGCAGTAGGTCGCGTGACCGTAGACGTCGTTCACGTTCTCGTTCACGTGATGACCGTCGTGATCGCGATAGACGTTATCGCAAAGATAAGGATCGTCGGCGAAGACGTGATTCAGACCATTCCGCTTCAGATAATGAAATCGAATCCTTGTTGAAAAGAGAAAAACGCGGGTAAGTCGAGTGGAACTGACATAGTGTGAGAAATTGATAATATAAATTTTACTGTGAGTATGTAAATTGAAATTTTGTTTAGTATTAGTATTTAGTATTTTAATATAAGTGGGGAACGATAATATTTCATTTTTTGTACTTAAAAGTTTCTCTCTCTTCGTTCTGCTTTCTCATGCTCATTAATTCGTATTAAGATAATGTTCGAAAGGTTATGTTTTTTGAGGTTTAGAAGTTGAAATTTTTTTTTTAAAAGATTTAGAGAAAAATTTAGAAGATTTAGAGCATGTAGCAATAATGAGATTGATGGTTCATACTGGAGCGTAGCTGTATTAGTATTTTTTTACTGAGTGTAGTGCATCATAAAATATTAACGTAAAGAATTGACATTTCAATACTGAGAAGAGTTTGATTTTACTCATTGTTAAGGTTTCTTCTGAATACTGAGAAAAAATTTTAATAACGAGTAAAATATGTGCCGTGAAGTATCTGCCTTAATCAAATAAGTTTTACTCTTGGAATTGTTCATTTCAAAGTGTTATTGTGATTTGGAACGATGTCTGGATGTTTTCAGCTGAGTAGAGAGAAATATTATTTTGATGCTTAGTTTCTCGTAATCAAAGAATCTTGGGTCAAGAAAACCTTTTCTTCAGAAAATGGCAGAGCCGTTTTGTTTGGGATAGGTAGGAAATTGTTCAATGTTAGTAGAAAACCGAAAAAGTGGAGCAATCTAAATAATATAGCAGTTGTGGTTGATTTTTGCAAATTTAATTTTTTTAAGTTATGAACTGAGAATCATCCATTACCGGGATTGGACATTCAGTGTATTGCATTGAGTAAATTGCGGGATAAGAGAAATTCTTTTTTTTGAAATGATATTAGCCTCAAGTGGAATATTTTCAGTGAAGTGATAACGAAAGCTTCTAATAGGTGTGCATATCCTTATCATTCTGTGTTCGACGTTTAATGTTAATCGTGACGCTTGTTTTCAGAAATGCTAATTCAAATTCACCATCCACATCGTTAGGAGCGTTAGTAAGCGAATTAGGAGCTGGGGTGAAGTTTGATGCATCGCAACTGAGTCAAGCAGCTAAGGAATGGTTGGATGCACGGGTTACTGAACAGGTAATTTTTTTCTATTTTGCTCATAGGATATTTATGAATTTCTGTACGTGTCATCATTAGTTGTCAATTAATTATGAAAAATTAGATTCCCGAGTTATTTCTGATTATCATTGTAAGATATGATCAGCCGCTGAATGATCTTTGGAAAGATTTTTGTTTTCATTTAATTGCTACTGCGGTAGTTTTAATTATCAAATGTTATTTACTATCAATAGATTGCATCTGATTTGTTCTGAAAATTTTGGACCTAATTAGTGATATTATTGCAACTCATTTTCGTGACCATATGCAGGTTCCAAGTAATTTTTCTTTTTAAAAATATTAAAAAGAAAAATTACTTGGAACCTGCATATGATATTCAGTGAATGGGATTATTTAGTAAAGCAAATATGTTTTTTGGTACACAGGTTAGGGCTGGAAGAATTTGAATCTTGGAAGTTCCAAACAAGTGGACTTGAAATAATTTTTTTCATTCCAAATCTTTGCTTTCGGATGTAAGCATTCCCGGTTTTTTATTTATAGTTCGGGTTCTTAACAAGTTAGTTTATGCTACGTTTCGTGTTAACACCATATTAGGTGTCACACAAAAAAAGAACATTGAAGAATGGAGAAAGGCTGTCTTGTGTGTGCACCTTGCGGCCGCTAATTAGCTGGAAGGATTCATTTATGGAGTCCGACCACATCAATGGTATTTTTTAAAATTAGATCTTAATTTTGTAATTAGCATATGTCTATTTTAGAAAATTTGCATACTTCGCTCTGTTGTTTGGAACTACCAGATTCTTTCTTTTCGATTCTTTGTTTTAAATTATCGGTTACCATCACACTGCGGTGCAAAGCTTGCAAATTTTCTGAACGATGAAGACAACTTTTCCTTTTTTCTTGAGACGCTTTCATTGTAGGTGAGTGCAAGAGTAGCTGATTTGGAATCGTTGGTGCAGGAACGCGTTGCCAAGGCACGCGCAGATCTGGAATCGAGATTGCGTTCGCAGATTGAGCAGGAAATGATGCATGAAGTGGAAGAAAGTCGAAAAAGAGAGGTGAGCTAAAACTCTTTGTGGTTTTCAGTAAATTAGAGAATATAACTTTTTAACTATCATCTTGCATAAAGAATGGTTCGGAAAAATTACTTTGTAATCCAATTCCCTTATGTAGATTAAAATTTTTAAGAATGATAAAATAAAATCCTAGTCGAAAATGCTTCAATAAATTACTGAGGAGCAAAGGCGAAGCTTTTCTTTTCGTTTCCTTGTTTTGATAATGGTACAGCTATTGTTGAATATTTGGATGGGTTGAATTGGGTTGAACTCAAATTATTCAAATAATATTTACAGGAAGAATCCAAAAAGCGGTGCATAGAACTTGAAGAAAGTTTGGAGAAGAAAATGAAAGAACTGGAGGAAACGGAGAAAAAATTGGTAAAGTTTAAAATGCTTTACATCAGACATACAGTTAGATTAACACAATGAGTGATGTAGTTTCCGTTATCGCCATGTTTCAGGCTATTGTACAATTTCAGCTCAGATCAGTCGCGCAGCAGCTACTTGAATTACTTTGAATTACTTATAAATAATTAAATCAGCTGTTATTGACTAGCAACCACTATTCTTCGTTGACGCAAAAGGGGTCCACAAAGAATAGTGGTACTTCGGGAGGAAATTCATAATGTGCATACACCTTGCACAGTACTTGGTCATACACTGCTGCGTGATATCGCTGGGATACAACAGGCAAACTACTAGTAGGTGTTCCGTTGGCCGATAAACTGTTGCAACGCCAAAGCGAAGTATACGAATTCGTACTACTGACGAGCAGTATGTTCATTCAAATATGAGCTTTTTTTAGAATCCTGATTGGGCAGTTGGTTTCAATACATTCTTGTATTTATAGTTACGGGTAGAACATGGGTTTTATTAGTTTTCAAGGCGTTTTTTTTTCGTGTGTATCGTGTTTATGTAGTTTTGGGTTATTTTGAAACCTTTTTTCAGAAACAAGAACGCTTATTAATGTTGGAAACGAAGAGCAAACTGGAGATGGAACGAAATGCGCTGATTCAGGAACGAGAAATGTTAACCAAAAGTGAGCAACAAGCGATACTGAATAAAGGTGGAACAATGAGGGCGCCAATCAAGTTGAAGCTCGGCTTTAAATGAATAAAAAACGATGGTGATGGAATGATACTGCGAAATGTACTAGATTAAATTTGAGTGACTCATGGAAGGCAGAGGGACTTTTGAAGTTCCCATGCTGAAATATTTTTCTTTTGGCTGTAGCGCTGAGAAACAACTTGTTTTACGTCTTCCTTTTATCCCCTTTAAATTCATGTTACATTATTTTTTTTTTAAATTTATAATTCTTCCACTCTAGTACTTTTTCTATTATTGCCCGTACATTGTATACAGAAATGAATTTTCTAACTTTCAAAACTGCAGTGGAACAAATCTTTTGCATATCTATTTGGTACAGTGCTCATCGTGGTGAGGAGGTGGTTTGCAGAAGTTTCAAACAAACTAAATTGGTTTAAAACTATACCTTTGAGTGGTCAGTAGTTTAAGTCACTGGTTGAATGGTATGTGGTCTAGCCAGCTAATATATGAGCTTTGAACTTGTTTCGGACGTTTGTACTGGATTGCCTTTTATGCGAATCATGATGGAACGTCGTTGCGAGAAACCGTATTCCTTTAAGAGGTTGGGTAGTTGAGTCTCATGTTGTTGGAAGCCTGATTCAACTTCAGTTTAATAGCAAATTTGATAGTACGTTTTAAAGAATAATTCTTTAGGAGGAGAGTTTTGATAGGATAAACAATGCGCGTTCCACAGCTTTCAATTATCTGAGGTTTGATGAATTTCAGAGCTTTGTTACATATCATTTGTTTCACAACTGATGAATAATTTATAACTGCTAAAAATGACATGTTGCATTGAAAGATTGCATAATGTACTGCTCAGTGGGCACTGTCATTAGACTCAATTCAATCTGAGCACTTTTTGTTTTCCATTCGAAGTGCTTTGGAATCATCTAACTTCGACATGAGAGTCTTTTAAAGTTAGGTAGGATGCTTAGCAGGTCTATGTAAAAAGAATATCGCTTATGTAAAAAATCTTACATCTAACTTATCCAAATTGGCTTCTTCTGAACATAAATGGACCGTTAACTGGGCTTCAAAATCATCTTTAACTTTATTGAAGTAGATCAGCTCCGGTTTTCTTCTTGTCCAAAATGCACAAAACAGTTTGAACACTTGACCTGAAATCAATGTTTTTTTACGAATATAAAATTTGAATCAGATCTAATAAGCGTACAAGCGAGATACAAACAGTTGAATTGAGTTGCTTCAAATGCAAGTAATATACTTCAGACAACGTACAAAAAACATGATGGAAATTGTCGATTGTTGGTGTACCACAAATAGTATTGTAGAAGTGCATTTTGAGTGCATCGCTCTGTAGTAATCGTTTAACCAAAGCAGTCAGGTTGATTCCCGTTATTGCCATTGGAAAGCTGGAAGGGATTATAGTTTTCAAAAAATGTAAAAAAAGGCCATTTTCCCGCTTCCCCTTTCAGTGGACTACAATATTTCACTCCCTTACAAAGACAAGGAATATGGGGTCGTTAAAAATATAAAGATTTGATGGAAAATAACAGTTAAAGATTCCAATTAAAAATTTCTTCTTACCCATACAAAGGATGATTTGAAAGGGAAAGTATTGACTGTGCATGTGCGACATCGTACTGAGCTAAGAAAATTAGCTGTTCTAGCGAAAGAATTCCCATACCTCGGAAATCAGTCGCTGGGTCACGACCCTAAAAGTTTTTGTTCCATTTGCAACACTTCAAAAAAGTTACTCGTAATCTTTTATAATTTTATAACCCAGTCCTTGATATTTCGATATACTGAAGTACAAATTAGTCAAGTTACTGTTATGTATGCTTCTGAAACATTTTCAACAGAAAACAAGGAAAGTCGAAAGTTGGCTACCGTAAACGAAGATAGCTAAAAAAATTCAAATAAATAGAAGCAAATGGAAGCTAAAGGTTAATAGTCTAATTTGCTGTCACCTTCATGTGCGCTCTGTCAAAAGAAGAGTAAAACTAATCTGAAACTCATAATTTGATGAGAAAAACTTCCTCGCCTGGAATCCGATCTTCTGCCATTGATCCGTCAACCTAGCTTCCAGATCTTCCTTTGGCATTAAAAGTTCCCATAATTTCAGCAATCTACAAACATAGGAAAAAATATATAGTTCAAGTATAATGCTCTAAGAGGCGTAAAATTAAACCTTTTTTCATGAGCTTCATTCTTAGGATCATACTTCTCTCTACACATTTCCTCGACATGATCACATAATTCTCGATAGCCACGTATTTGGCCTAATGATCTCTTTAGTACATCTCTCATCTCTTCAAACTGTTCATTATCCACTTCTGAACAGCATCCCATAACAATTTCTGTTGCCTAAAGTAATGATTTTTAATAATGTTGCAAGGGAATACTTACATATTAAATATCAAAAGGCTCTTACAAAAAATGAGAAAATGGAAATTAGATTGGAAAAAATAAAGTAGGAATGGAATAGGAGTAAACAAAAATATACAGTTACAAATGGTTCAATTAAAATGAACTTTCAAAAACTGTCCAATAGATTTGTATGTTTTCACAGTTCTTTGAAGCTCCGCTTTCCAGTTATCATTAGAATAAGCAATTTAATGTAATTTACAATGGACGATGAAATATGAAACAAATGTTTTGGTAGCTAAACTAACAAGTTTATCTTCCTGTCCAGCTTTCCAAAATCTCGGCATTATTGGTAGCTCTCCCTCATCAATGAGTTTTTCCACTTCTGTTGTGATCCGACAGCGATTACCGACTTCCCAAGTCAGCTAAAATGGTTAAATGTGTCTAATTAAAGTTCAATTTTCGTACCATCTCATCGTTTTGTTGGACTATATTCTTCTTATTAATATTATATTTTTCAGTTCTAATAAAGTCTATTGTATAAAATTTTCATATTTCGACGATATATGCAAATATTCTTACAATTCTTTCAAGCTCCGTTTTGCCAGTAACCATTAGCATGAACCAATTTAGTGTAATTCGCAATAGACGACGAAATATGAGACAAATGTTTTGGTAAAGATTGAAGAAAGGACTTTCATCATCCCAATCCATGAAATTTATTGGACAGAAACTCTAAAAACCGAACGTTTTGTCTATTTTTTATAAATAATTTAAATGTTCTTGCGGAACCGTAATCAGATTATATAAGAAATAACTCAGATTACAAATATGTAAACTGCATTTCGGAATTCAAATGGAAGAAATTAAGAGAATGCTATTCAAATTGTTGTCTTCATCTCCATTGTGATATTTTGTGCCATCAACTTGCTAAAAAGAATCGAACTGTGAAATAACCTTGGAAAGGATCTTTCATTCAATAATACTTATACATCAATGAATAGAAGTGAAATAAGGAACAATAAAGCTAATTATTTTGCTGCTTTCAATAAAAAGCTTAGGTATCCCAAACGATGTGCACAGAATTTAAAATATATTAAGTACAGTGGACAAATTTACTAACAAGTTTCCACATGAAATTATTCATGGCACATAAATCAATAAAAATTGCAATTATATGCACAAAGAAAGCCTTTCGGTAACAGATGTAAAAATTGAAGTATAAAACAAACAATTTTAATTTTTATCACTCATGCATATAAACCGGTACAGAAGCACAGTTTAGAGTTAGTAATACGTTAATCGATGTTACGATAATAATAAACACAAAATTTCACTATGCCATGAATTAATAGATTTATTCCGATCAGATTCCTTCGCGGTATCCATTTCGTATCAAAATCAGACTTAAAATTCGGGAAAAACAGTGACAGCGTTTGGGGCAGTCGAATTATAATGTTCGCCTAAATCGTAGGCAAACCGATGAAACGTAATAATGAGAGGTTTTCTGTCGTTGTATTCTTCTCCGAAAGACAAAACTCGTCCTCCCGGCTGAATTACTTCAATTCGCCTTTCTAGTGCAAAAGCTATGGCTCGAAGCTATAATAATGAAACTAAATCAAATTTCATGTACGATACAAAAATGAATCACAACAAAAGACTCTAATTCTATTAATACAGATAAAATAATCTTAAGCAGAAATAACGGAGAGTTAGGTTGCTCTCTTTTTTAAACTAGTAAAAGCCAATCACAAGAACGTTGACATGGAAATATTCTGCTTTCCACCCGATATATCAAATTATTTTTGCTTTAGAATACATTGTTTATATGATCATAACTGTCATTGCTGGTAATGTCATTGTTACGGTCATAAGGTCAAAAGTGTCCGCATTTCAAATACTACTGAAAATCTAAAATTACCTCCGGTTCTCCGCCCCAAACACCACCGTCTGTGCAGCAGTTCTCAACTTTCATACAATATTCCTCAAATTCGATCTCATCTACTGCCTCTTCATTATCACCGGCTAAAAATGGAAGAAAATCATCTTTATGTGTTCGCATGTAAACAGCAGCCTTTTGACGAATATCTGCGCCTCTAAACTGAAATAAAAATTTCCATTTGATCAATTAAACTGTAATTTTTCATTTGAATTTTACTATCTGAATATATTTATTGGATCTGAAAAAGACTGATCAAACGTGATTGATAAAGGCACCTGATGTGAAGTAACCAATGATAGTTGATGTGCTATAGCACTGTACAAGCAATCACCATCGGGTTCAATGTTGTATATCGTAAGTCCACGATCCATTAATTGTCGTTCGATTGCTTCACTTTCGAGTTTCCCTAAGGATACTTCAGAATTGAATTCAATTAAAAAATGTTTCCTTCTAAACAGTGTGACATTATTTAAAATGAAACACTGTATGACACTGCTTTTTTCCTTTATATTTATTAAGAAAATGGTGGTGACCACCATTTTCTTAAATACAAAGAGAATAAAACTACTGGCTTTTATTAATTCCATTTTTAAATAGTTGAAAGTCTTAAAGTAAAAAAAAAAAACCATACGAGGTGCATTTTCCGCATCAATCTTGGCTTGCATTACCGCTTCTTCCCGTTTCCTATTGAGTTCGGCTTTTTTTTCCTGCAATTTAGTTTGTGAAATTCAAACGTCTAAATTTTTACTTTTGGAATGTCAAACACATCGCAATGCTTTCATAAACTATAAGATAGCATGCAGTTTTCCTGCAGTTGCAAAAGTTCATCAAAACTTGAAAGAAGTAGAACCCATCAGAAAAATTTTGCAAGTTTCGTTAGGTTACGAAACTTGCAAAATAACACAATACCACGTCATGTTATAATATATAATTCCTAAGAAGTATTTAACTTTTATTTCATTTGACAGATATCATAAAATACTGACTAAAAAACTGAAAAGTGGAAAGAACAATGTGATTAGCAAGAAAATTCTACATAGTATTGTTCCAGCAAAATTACTATAACTTACTCGTCTTCTTTGAGCTTTTGAGATGCGTGGCTCTTTTTCTTTTTCCTGATATTGCTCCACAACAACTGGCTCTATAGATGCTTCTGCAGATGATGATTTTAATTCCGTTAATTCCTAAAAAATTTCCTGTGACAACACAATACCTCACCATGTTATAATATATAATTCCTAAAAAGTATTGAACTTTTATATTTGTATTAATCTAACTTCATTTGTTTTTAAAATTCTGTGCCGATTCTTAAATACTTCGTCACTATACGTCAGCTTCCGTTGTAGTTATATCGGCTCAAAATTATATAATAAAACAAATTGCCGTACAATGCAAGCAAGTGAAATGACATTGGTCATGCACAAAGCATAGAGATAATATTCTAAAATGAGCATCTCGCCGTTAAATAGTCATTTTAGTTAATGTATCCAAATAATAAAACTAGTGGTTTTGCGTATTAACAATAATTTTCGCTTTCATGTTCACAAATTTAGGAAGCTCAGAAATTGAACTTTTTTTTGCAAATTACAACTTTGAAAAATCCAACAAATGAAAAATACATTTATTTGATTGATAGTATCGTCCAGAGTATTGATTGAAAATTCATTCGCGTTGTTGTTTAGTTATTCAGAGAATTACCGAAGGCATGTTAGAATATTATTATAGTGATATAAATATTTGTTCTGTAATTGTTGACAATAAATCAGAATAGAAAGACCTCTTCATGGCGTCTTTTCATTTCTTCTTCCATTTTTGTTATCTCTGCAACTATTTCTTTCTTTCGCTTCTTATCATTTTTTGCAATCGAATGTTTCATGCTCATTATCTTAGCTGAAATATATGCAAACTATAAATTGTGGTTAATATCGATCACATCACTGTCTCTCAAAGTAATATTTGCTCAATTCCCCCACTACTCTTCACCACAGTCAACAGTGTGTCAGCAATATTTTGTTTTGGAGGTAAGTGTAATCAAAAAAAAAATCAAGTGGAAAAAAATTTGTCAATCTTTCAAAAAGAAAAACTTGAAAATCAAAATAAATGAAGTAAAATTGGTAAATTACACTGTAATTCTTTGCGTTCCCTTCGATGTGTTGCTTTTAACTGTCCCAAAGGAGTCGTATCTTCTTCCTCAAGCATCATTCTATTCGAAAAGGAAACAACTAATTAAATCTGAAATTTAAAATATTCAAATTCCAAACTATTGGTAATGATTGTCTAACAAAATGAATATGACAGATGTAAGCATAAAATGATATGGATATACAATGCACAAAATTTGGTATTTTTTTTATAGTCAATATTGGATATTCAAATCAAAATGACTAAATGATTGTTTCCAGATTACTCAGAGGATCCTAATAATCTTCCTCCTTTGGAACAATCAAATCAAAACATTACTTATACAATTCGATTAAGAGATAAGTTTTTGCTACTTTAACCGTAGATCAATCATACATCACGGAAGACAACAAACTCCTAATTTTTTGATAAAATCAACAAAACAACGTATGAGAGAGGAATAAAATAACAAAACACAAAACAGTATGTGATGGTTAAAAATCGGAAAAAAATCGGTACGAACATTATAGGAGAGATAATGGATGATAGTAAAAAATATCGAAACAACACGACAAACATTAGAGTGGACAGATGACAGTCCTAACCAAATGCTTGTGAGGTACGAATTCATCTTTAGTTTGCATCCGCAATGTGATGCAATACGGACCCTCGGTGCTTTGAACTGCGTATCAGGAATACCTGAAGCACTCCTCACCGCGTGGGACCCCACTTTTCGATCCATTTCGCATATCCGGTTTGTTTACGATTTGCGATTTACCTAATCGCTTATCTGATGGGATGATGGTATTTATGGCTTTTTTCCATTTTGTTTCTGATTTATTTCGTTCCGTTCTTTAACGTTTCACGACATCACGCTTTCTTTTTCTCTCACTTCATCGTTACAATTTTCAGACGTGCAAGAATGTCTGATTCCGAAAGTTCCGACGCTGAGAGCAAAAAAGCTCAGAGGAAGGAGACGAAACGTGCAAGAGAAGTGCCACTTTTGTTTCTTCCTTTAATCTCCAAATTTTTGTAAAACTTATCTTTCAGAGTTATTATTTTTGCAAGCCTCAACGGATTCATTGTATGCCTTCCATGAAATAGCTACCGCTTATGGATACCGTTTTCTAGAAACACTATTGGGTGCTTTCTATGATCCTTGCTGTTTTAATCCTGAAAATTTTATATATCGATCTTTTCTTAGATCAAAAATAACATGAAGTGAGGATTCCAAAAAGTTCGATATTCTGAAACTAATGTGTAGGAGGGGATAAAGTATTACTTTTTTGACTTATATATTGGTAGAAATAAATAGATGAGCCTTTTTCCCAAATTATCAGTTGATCAAATTATTAACAACATAAGAGTAGTTGTTATGTTTGTTCAGAATAGCACTTCCGATGAAAGCATTATCGACAAAACTCCCTTGAAAAAAGGTAAAGGTAATAGTGGCGGCTTCAAGAATGCTGACGGTGAAGAGGTACTTCTTTTGGCTTCAAAAATAAAATTATAGTAATCTGATTTGTCGTAACTTATTTAGCGTTATATGTAAAAAACACTGGAAAGGAGAGCTTTTAAATGTAAAATGAAAAGCTTTTGTTTTTATGGAAAAGGCAATTTTTTTGAATCCAGATTGTTTGTAACTTTAAAAAAAAATAAATAGTAACTTGTGAAATTCGAATTCTATGGTATTTTTTGAAATGCTGCTCTTTTTTGTTTGAATAGGAGAAGAGATTAAAGATAGCGACACAAATTTTTTATTGACTATTTACAGATTTCTTCAGTTATTATGAAAATTAATTGTAGATGTTCGAATTGGGCAAAATGCGTTTTGTATCGGTCCGATCCTTTAAAGGCAAAGCTTTGATTGATATTCGTGAATATTATCAAGATAAGGTAGAGCTGTTCCTGCAATATTAATGCTTTTTTCGATCTATAATTAAAAATTGGAAATACACGATTGTATATTCAGCTACAGACCAACGTGAATTATTCGTCTAGTATTTACCTTTTTTTTTTCCTTTTTAAATTCTTGAGCATTTCATTGTTTCAGTTTCTTCCAATACACAGGCTAAAAATACATTACATTTATGAATAGCGAATTTTAAAAATTGAGAGTAAAAGTTAGGGCAGGATAGTTTATAGATTTTCATCAGATAAAAAGAAATGCTGCAGAAAGATAAAGATAAATATATTTACCTTTTTCTTTAATCTTAAGGACGAGTAAGTTGCAGTTTATAAATGTTTAATTCTGAGAGTAAAAATTGGGGACTTCCAGTTTCTTTTCGTTTTTGCAAACCATTTTGAGAGTGAGTACTTGGTAATATTTTGCGTATATAATTATTTCTAAGCTAAAAAACAAATTTTTATCTGTAAGAAGCGTGGATATTACAAACTATACTTTAACATTTGATAACTTCAATTTTTGCCTCTTTTTAATGCTATTTTATTATGATTTTTAGAAATCACGAAAAAGGCAGATTTTCAGGATAGCGGTGGATTGAAACCGGGACGTAAAGGTATTAGTTTGTCGGAAGAACAATATCACCGATTGAAGGCTATTATGGATGATATAGATGAAAAACTGACTAGTGTCTAAATGTTTTTCCCTACTTCGAGATGATACTTGATCGATGGTTCCAGAAATCTCACCCTTAATTGTCGATCTCGATATCATCTACTCATTTATCGTTATCCTCTTAATACGATTAGAACAGAAATTGTCATAGTATTTTATGTTTACATTCGTGGTCATTTGCAAGATTTAAATGCTCTTCATATCCACCTGTTATTCTTTTTATTCTTTTTCGAAGATTCGAAATTAATTGACCCTGTGGACTAGGTCATATTTCGGAGAGGTTTTAAAAATAATTTGTTACTCTTAATGTTTGGAAAAAAAAAAACTTTTTGATATCAATCCAGCTAACAAACTGTAGCTCGATGGAAAGTGAGTACCATTGAACAGCCTCATCTTCCGAATTATGATTCGTTCTTTTACTTATTACAAAGAATTTTTTATTGTTTATTTTTCACTTTTCATTTTGAAAAACATTAAAATACGTGACTTGATTATTTAATTTGCTTAAAACACAATGTATCAAACAAAGTTACCATCACCAATTAGCAAGGAGTACGGAATTGTAATTAATTTATAAGCTAAAACAGGATATGTGGGTTGGATTGTATGCAGCGAAATGTTCCTTTTTTTGCAATTCGATCTCAGGCCTACGGGTTAGGTTGGCGGAATTCGATAGTGGGAGGTAGAAAGGTGGGACGAGGGATGGAGAGGTCTGATAAGCTGTACTGGAATCTGTTGTATATTTTCATCTCGCGTATTTGGTTACATAAATATCCGACGAAAAAAGTTAATGATGAAAAAATTGTTTGGTAAAGGTTATTCATAAATAGTAGTCCAGAGAATTTTGGATTGTATTTCAAATACGCAAATGGATGCGTTTTATAGGATAAAATCGTGTCGTAACAGGTGAAAGATACGCAGAATTCGGACATTGATTTCCGGAACAAATGTTTGAATTTCAGGAATCGATCAATTCATGGCACTAGCAAATCGAGGACGAAATCAAAAGTTACCACCGGAAGTTAATCGAATTCTCTATGTCAAGAATTTACCATACAAAATTACCAGTGAAGAAATGTATGATATTTTCGGAAAATTCGGAGCTGTACGTCAAATACGAGTGTAAGTTTGTTCGTTCTAATCTTTTTTTTTGGAATTATAAACATTATGTTCATGTGTATAACTTTGTTATGAATTAGAGAAATTGTATATTCCGGCACTTATGAGCTAACGCGATCAGTTCGTGTAGTTGTTTGTAGTCCTTATCTCAAGTGATTGAAAAATTGTCTCAGTCATTTTTTTTCGTCTTATCTTGAGATGTTTTCTTCTACATCGAATAAGTTTTCGTTACTGTCCTACATTTTCAATTTTTTTTTGTGTTTTACAAATCTCTTCTATGACATAATACATCATAAGCATCTAATTTGGATGTAGCACAGATTAGGTGCTATTTAGCTATGTTAAAGAAATATATTAGCACGATTAGATTACTTCTATATGTGTTAAAACTTCGAAAGCAGTATATCTTTACTCTTTTTGCCGTTTCACTTATTGTATTACAATGCAGTTTTTCAGAGGTAATACAGCTGAAACACGTGGAACAGCATTTGTAGTTTATGAAGATATTTTTGATGCTAAAAATGCTTGTGAACATTTATCTGGCTTTAATGTATCGAATCGATATCTCGTCGTATTATATTATCAGGTATGTGCAGGTTTTGTCTACTATTTTTTGTAGTTTTGAGAATATAACATGCTGAATTTAGATGATTCTTTTTTTTGCTGGATTTATTGAGATTTTTTTAACGATATTGGTTGGTCAGGCATTTCAGTTTATCAGTAATCAGATTTTTTTGAAAAAAATGTTTAGCTACGTAAATTTTTGAGGTTTAGAAGGTTTCAGAGTTTTTTGATAGTGAGATGTTTGGTGATAGATTAGCGTTTAAAAATAAAAAAAATGAAAGCGTAGATTAGCGTTTAAATGTAGTAATTTGCAGGTGCATGAATTTATGTAATTAATAATTTTCTAGGCGACAAAGGCGTACCGAAGGATGGATACCGATAAGGCGAAAGAAAGGCTTGAAGAAATTAAGGAGCGATATAATCTAGGTGGAGACTTGGAAAAGGAAAAGAAGGATAAGTTGGGATATACGCCCACACCTCGAAAATAATTGTGTTTTCCATTATATTATTGATCTATGTACAGTTGTTTAATTCCGTAATAAAAATGTGATGATCACTTTATTTATGATTCTGTGGCAGACAACTGAGGATAACATTTATTTACAGTAATACTTATCAACTAGATATTTGCATGTTTTACATTTCACATAACAGCAATGCACATACTTGCACTGACATTGTTCTTCAACGAGCATTTGTTTAGTGTAATATCCACGTCCACAACATAAACTACTGCAACTGTTTGGACCCGGCGATGTTAGATTACATTCTCTACAAAATCACGATTCAATCTGTTTAATTCGGATATCATAGTTCGAAGAACTGCAAGTAATTAAAATGTGTAGTTGCAATAAGGGGATAAAGGTTCTCGGGAGGGGGGGTTGATCAGTGTCCATGTCATCCAAATGGAAATCACAGCTGCAAAGAGGAAGGGAGCACCCGGATTTGAACCGGGGACCTCTCGAT